TGAATGTCAATTGACATCGGTCTTTCTGTATCACATAGTTCATGGCGGATGGTCAAGCTGGTCTGTGTCGACATCATGTAGCGTTACTTGTGGTAGTGGAGTGGAAATTCTTTCTCGTAGTTGCACGAATCCCGCGCCTAAATATGGCGGACGATCTTGCCAAGGAGATGCCCAGAAACAACAAGCGTGCATAAAGAAACCCTGTCCAAGTAGGTACTTTGTATTCACCCTGCTATGTATGTTATTCTTGCGCTTTGGGTTTGAATAGCAATATTGAGGACCATTCAACACTGAAAACACTACAAATAAAGTCTTTATCCTTTCTTTATTACTCAGTTCATGGCGGATGGTCTAGCTGGTATGTGGCAAAACCTTGCAGCGTATCTTGTGGCAGTGGAGTAGCAATCCATTCTCGCTCTTGTACAAATCCTGCGCCAAAACATGGCGGAAAACCTTGCAATGGACACGCACAGAAACAACAGGCGTGTACAGAGGACCCTTGTCCAAGTGTGTGCAGCTTGTTAATGTTATGTCTTGATTTTTCTGTAAGAACGCACGTAAAACGTTCGTTAAGAGCTTTAGTTTTATGGCCATTTAGAGAACGTTTTATTGTGGCTTCTTACGAGCCATGCAATATGGGAACACAAGGAAAATTCGTCAGAGCTCAAGGAAAACTGAGGAAGCTAAAATTACACGTATACCTGACTTGTAATGCATAGGTAGTTCTGTCTTGATGTTTAATCTACTGTAGAATTTTCATAAAATTCATAGCAAATGTTAAAACCAAAACAAGCTGGATAAAGTGTTGCGTCTACGAAATACTTCTTCGTACACTGCAGTATCTGCTTTGTCTTGAAGAGGAGTTAAATATACATTGTTTTGTGGCAAGCGCAAAAATGAAAATGCATCTAACTTGAAACGGAGTATGAATACATTAAGCATTGCGATCTTACTTCGTCTTGTTTTACTGCTGTATTTTATAGTCGACGGTGGTTGGTCAAGTTGGAGTGACTGGAAGCCCTGTAGTAAATCCTGTGGAACCGGTATTCAGGAACACTCAAGGAGCTGCACGCGACCTACGCCCAGTTATGGCGGGAAATCTTGCGATGGAGAAGCGCGGGAAAGCCGTTGGTGCAATACACATTCATGCCCTGGTAAGTATAGAGTAGGCGAGTAATTGAGGTATTTTTTTTCTGTCAGTCTTAAGAATTAAACTTTTGCCAGGAAGCTGTTCCTCTTCGTTTCTTTGGAGTGCTCAGGATTTCTAACTTCATAATTTCAGTTGAGTTCTTCAAACTTTGTGCTGTTACTGTTCGTGCGGAAAAAACTTGCAACCAGCTAAGCTCCTTTCAGTTTGTAGTCAAATAAATAGATTTGTCCCCTTCAGATGTATTACTTTGGGTTCAGCAAGTTATCTCTGTTACAGTGGATGGCGGCTGGAGTGCTTGGAGCTTTTGGTCTCCCTGTGATAAACTCTGTGGTGGTGGCGTCAGAGAACGCATTCGTTCCTGTACAAATCCACCTCCCTTTAGTGGTGGGAAAGGCTGTGGCTCGCACTATCATGAGTCTAAGGAGTGTGCTGTAAATAAATGCCCAGGTTAGCAAGTGTATTCTGCAGTCCTGTCATCTGTCTGTTCGTCTGTCCGTTCGTTCATCTGTCTGTCTGTCTGTCTGTCTGTCTCTGTCTGTTTCACGGTTTGAGTTTTGGTTCATCTCTCTGCACACATCGGTCAGTCCGTCTGTCTGTTTGTCTGTCTGTCAATCTCTGTCATGTAGTCAGTTTCTGTCCGTTTGCCAGCTTTTCTGTCTCATTGTCTGTCTCCCAGTCATTATCACGGTCTGTTTTTTTGGTTTAGTGTTCTGTCTGTCTGTCTTTTTGTCGGTTATGTTATACTTACACTGAAAATCGCTGTTAATTGAAACGTCTTTAATTATATATTGGTAGCCACGCAGTACTGTCTCACTGTGAAGGTTGCAATTCACAATATGCAGGCAGCCGACTTCAACTACTAAGGAAGGTGATCTCTTGTAGATATATCAAAAGTAAACGAAAATTCTTATCAACCTATAAAATATCTTCTTCCGGTATTTTTACAGTTGATGGTGGTTGGTCAAGCTGGAGCACATGGACGCCTTGTAATCGATCCTGCGGAACAGGTTTTCAGGAGCGCTCTCGGAGCTGCACCGAACCGGCGCCCAGACATGGCGGGAAAGAGTGCCACGGGGATCCGCAGGAAAGGCATGAGTGCAACACGCACTCGTGCCCCGGTAAGAACAACTGCTGGCCAAGTTTTTGCAATTATATAGACTACCATTTTTATCCAGGCTACCATGTAGCCATAGGAGCTAATGGCTGATTGTTTGCTCTTTTGTCTCATCTTTTAAATGGAGAAGACGAGGATAGGTAGGCAATCATTCGTGCGTCTAGATTTCTCCGGCTTCGAGGATACTGTTTGTCAGAGTATCATACTAAAAAGTTAAATATTTTCGTTCGCAGTGGACGGCGGTTGGAGTGTCTGGGGTTCTTGGTCTTCCTGTGGGAAAACTTGTGGTGGTGGCGTGATAGAACGCTTTCGTTCCTGTACAAACCCACCTCCCTTTAATGGTGGGAAAGGCTGTGGCTCAGACTATCATGAGTCAAAGGAGTGTGCTGTAAATAAATGCCCAGGTTAGTACTTTAACATGTCTTGTCCGTCATGTAATTTCTTCTGAAAGGT